AGTATGTAATTATCTAACCACTATGCTATACACCTGAAACTAATACAAAATAATATTGCATGTAAACTATAATTGAAAAGTTTTAAAAAAGAAAAAAATAGAAAATCAGCTTGTGAATTTCTAATAAAAACCCTGTTGAAATTTTATGTTGAACGTCACTGAAACCACAGCTCAATTTTGGGAGAACTGATGTCTACGCTATTGAGGTTTCCTGCCATGTCATGGTATATCGCACCATTTAAGTTTTCTGTACCATCTCTTGATTACGTCTTGCCATGTTCTCGATGATGATGATAGCTGCTGACACTTGCATTGTGCTTCTTACGTGCCCAGCGCTCTTCCAAACGCTACACATGTAAACTCAATGGCTGGAATGAGTATCGCTTGCTTGCAAAAATGGTCTTCTCAACTCTAATGTGACTTCTCTAGCTGGTGGCCTTCAGAGAGGTTGACTCAGCCTAGAGTTAGTCCCAGGGTTCCTTTGCCTTTGAGTGAGTGTCCTTGCCCACAGTCCAGTGACCACACCCTTGGGTCCAGGGACCACTACAAAAGACTGGGAGAATGAAAGAGCTGGGAAACTCTCCTCTGAGGGCACTATTGGTCACAGCTCTAACCTTATTTATTTTGATTTGCTGGCTCTAACTTCTTCCTGTCTACTTTGTCCATTTAAGATAATTGAATGTGAGGGGTGGCTCACACTGACCACATCTGTATTTTGAAGTTGAGTCAGAACACCTTACCAAATAGTTCCATGTGGTCTTCCAGCTCATGGCATAGATAAAAATAAAGGAAACTGTCATCAAAAGGTTCTTTTTATAGCGTAACTTAATTGATGTTCTCTCTCAACAAAGTTGATCTGAATCATGGTTGAGTCAAGATGATATGGCACCCTGAACTGAGCTGACAATTCGTGTGGGTTTTTTGTTTTGTTTCGTTTTTGGTGCGTCCAAAGACAAGGGTCCAGCGATGTGGGAGGAAGCCTAGTGAATGTGTGTACACACAGAGGCTAGGTTTATTTTTGAGTTCTGCAGTACAGTGACCTCTGTTCATTCCATTTCCTTTATGAGTTAGTAAACATACTTACACAAGCAATGAGCAATACCAAGACACTGTTCACCTCTTGAAATCATAGCCATCATCACCATTTGGTCATTTTCTATACTTTCCTTACTAGAGTCTTTCCTCTACGCTCTCACTCTATATATATCCAATGACTCAAGAAAATTAAATATTCAAGGAAAGAATAGCCCTGGCCGGTTTGGCTCAGAGGGTGGAGCGTCGGCCTGCGGTACAGAGAGACCCCAGTTCAGTTCCCACTAAGGGCATGTACCTCGGTTGCAGTTTGTCCCCGGCCCTGGTTGGGTCGTGCAGTGCGGGTGGCAGCCCCTCGATGTGTCCCTTTCACATCGATGTTTCTCTCTCTCTCTCTCTTCCTCTCTCTCCCTCCCACTCTATCTGAACAAAAAATGGAAAAATGTCCTCGGGTGAGGATAAATAAAAAAAAGAATAAAAATACTATAAAGTGTCCATCATGGGCTAGGTCTTAAAGTAGGTTGAGAACACCGAGGTAAAGAAGAAGAATCTGCCTTCAGATTGCTGTCATCCTAGCAGGCCTGTCGGTGATTAAGTGATTACAATATTCTACGTAAGGTTCTTTGGAAAGGAAAGAGCATCAAAGGGAATACAGTACAGGGGCATCTAGAGGGCCGAAAAGGCTTTCACTCGGAGGTGGAATGGAAATTAAATCTTCAGGGAAAATCAAGAGTGTGTATCATCAAAGGAATGAAGGCACAGGACATTTATATTTGTCTGCAGCAACCATCTTGACAAGAGAAAGAACATCAATTAAGTTACACTATAAAAAGAACTTTTTGATGACAATTTCCTTTATTTTTATCTATGACATGAGCTGGAAGACCCCTTTGTATCAGAGCCTAGCTAAGTCATCTAGACTGGGGGGCGGGGAAGGAGGATTCTTACCAATTACAGACAAAGGCCGGGCCGCAGCAGGGGTGAGGGGTGCACTGACACTCCTATCTAGGCCCTTTCAGACTCCAAATAGCTATGACCTAGAACACTGAGTGACAGAGTGAACTACAGAAGAACAGACTGTAAAATGCTCACGGTGTCCCTCACGCCACACCCTCGGTCCATCTCGTTAAGGACCGCAGGGGCAATTCTCCGTGGGCAAGAATTAATAGAGCGATGACCAGCTGTACAGACAATTCAGAGGTACATGCCTCAGAGATACCCAGTAGGACTGAGCCCCAGCTGCCCACAACAGTCACCAGTTCAGTAAAGAGGGCTCCTTACATTGGTGTTTCTCCTTCGAGCCTAGCTTCCCCTCTCCCACATTCTTCACCCAAGTCCTTGCCTTAGATTCTGCTTTTGGGAGGAAATATATGTATTTTCTAATCCTCACCCAAGGATATTTTTCCATTTATCTTCAGATAGAGTGGGAGGGGAAGGGAGAGAGACAGAGACATCCCTGTGAGAGAGACACATTGACTGGTTGCCTCCCACATGACCCCAACCCGGGCCAGGGACCAAACTGCAATCGAGGTATGTGCCTTTGAATGGAATCGAACCCGAGACTCTTGGTCGAAGGACCGAAGCTCTAACCACTGAGCAACTGGCCAGGGCCAGAGACCATCTTTATTATGTCCCCTTGTCCACCTGAACCTGTGCTCTGACTCTTTGCAAGTCACGTTAAATTCTTTCTGGAGCAAAGTAAGATATAAATATATTAAAATTTTGATTTTTGGCCTTTTCCTAGAGGTATTATTTTCTAACTTTAGTCACCTTTATTATATATCTGTCTCTACATTATCTACAAACCTTTATGATGTATCCAGACCCCATCCTGTGTTAGCCAAGTGAGAGTGGTTTGTCATACTCTATACCTCTGCTGTCCATTAAGTAGCCACTAGCTACATGTGACTACTTAGAAATAAGTAAAATCAATAAATCTGTCCCTTATTCACATTAGTCACATTTTAAGTACTCAATAGCCACACATCGCCAGTGGCTACATCACTGGTGTGCAGATGCAGAATATTCCCATCACTGCAGAGAGCTCTGCTGCTCTGTAATTTATTTTTCTATCGAGAACATTATGTTCTGGTTCTGTCACACAACACAACTGCCTCCCCATCCCAAGGCCTGCACGTCAGGTCACCTTTCCTGGTCTCCAAACTCTGCCTGGAACGGGGACAATGCTTAAGAAAAACTGGAGCCGAATGTGGGAAGCACCCTTGTTTCCTCGTTCTCCCCCAGTAATCCATTTGGTCCCTGAGTCCTGTCCATACAACTGGCAAATCTTTTTCAGGGCGTATCCTATCCATCCCACAGACAATGTCCTAATTCAGGCACCTTGCTCTTCCACTTGGGCTTCTGCATCCGCTCCTTAAACGTCCCCTGCCTCGTCTCTCCCTCTCTGACGGATCCCCAAGGGCAGTCAGAGAACTCTGTAATGTGCAGATTTCATCACGCCATTCCCTGGAAAGAACCCCCACTCGTTCCCTATTAATTCCCCTCACAACAGAAGAGTAGAAAAAGGCCTTGTGAATTGGCTCAGGGTCTTGGATTCTATCCGACAGGTTATAGAGGATCTTCTGCACCAGACATCTCACCTACATTACTTCATTCAATCCTCTCAGGGACCCTGCAAAATCGGCATACGGTCCCTCTTGCACGTGTTCAGGGGCGCTCTCATCTGTAAGCCATGCAGCCAATGAAATCTAAAGCCCTTCCTGGCCCATCCATGTATCCCACAAACATATCCACAAGGTCTCCTGTGCCACCACCTCTTCTTGTCTAGACTTCCCATTACAGTTTATTTACACCGCAATTTCCCTAATACGCTGCGTTCATTTACCCTCAGCCCCTAGCAAAGAACCTGTCGCATAGTAGGTACTCAATAAAGATATGCTGAAGCATTAACTCAATCAACATTATCTCCCGGAAAGTGTCCTATCAATTATCATCTCCCAAAAAGCCCAAGGAGTAGTGCCCTGGGCATTCAGCACTCTCTCAATAGACACCTCCTCCTGTGATTTAAGCTAGAAGTGGTCAGACTCAAGGGTCTGGCTTAAACACAAGAGGACCTCCAGGGATCACCTGGACCAACTCAAGTCTAGCTGTCCCTTTCTTCTGCGCTCTCTACTCGTTCCTACACACAGCCAGGTTTCACAAAACCTGGTACACGGGGGACGTAAATATACAAAATAGTATCCGCTAATGTTCACTTAGCTGATGTCAAGTCTACATACTAAGGGTTTACTAGGCATCACCTTGAAAGGGGAGGTAGAGCCCTGGCCGGTTTGGCTCAGCGGTTAGAGCGTCGGCCTGGGGTCCTGAGAGACCCGGGTTCGGTTCCCGCTAGGGGCATGTACCTCGGTTGCAGTTTGTCCCCGGCTCTGGTCAGTCGTGCAGGTGGCAGCCACTCGATGTGTCCCTTTCACATCGATGTTTCTCTGTCTCTCTGTTCCTCTCTCTCCCTCCCACTCTACCTGAACAAAAAATGGAAAAATGTCCTCGGGTGAGGATAAAAAAAAAAAAAAGAAAGGGGAGGTAGAATGATGGAGAACTGATCGTTATGGGGCGCTAGCCATAATTCTAAGGAAGGTTGAACGTTCATGACTGCTCTGTTCTGATTAACGAGAGCCCCTCTGACCCGGCTGGAGCTGTGCACCCTGGGCGTTCACCTCGGGAATGCTGCCCGCTCCCCTACCCGAGCACTGCCCCCCATCCCAGGAACACTAACCCCCTGCAGTCTGCAGGCTGTGCCTGGAGACAGCCCACATCTCCGCATGCCCGGGATCTGTAACTGTTTTACTCGCTGCGACTCCCTCGGCCGATTCTCCAACATTTCCCCCAACGCTGCTCCCCGTGTCCCCACGTGACCCCCACCAGAAGCCAGGCTGCGGAGGGAGGGGCGCGCAGGTGTGCAGGGCCCCTGCCGCCCCCACACTGGCCGGCCTGCTGGAATAAGCGCTCACACACAATGCAGTGGGTCTCCGCTGAACTGGCTCCCTCGTGACAGGCACCCCGGACCCACGTGCTGTCCGGTTTCTTTCTGTAAAATCCTCACCGGTGGACATTTTCCCATTTATCTTCAGAGAGGGCGGGAGGGAGGACCATCCTGTCCGCGGACCAGCGGCCTCCCGACCACCCGCACGGGGCGGGACACCCCACCCCAGGGACGCGCCCTGGGCCCCGCAGTCCAACCCGCGACCCGCAGGGCCGGGCGGCGCTGACCACTGCGCCCGGCCAGGGCGGCGGTCCAGCTCCCACGTCATTCCATCCCTCTCTCCCCCGGGGGCCAGCGTCGTTCCCACCCCGCAGCGGGGCACGGGGGCCAGGCGAGGACAACGGGCACCCCTGGCCTTCCCCCGGCGGCACCGCGGCCCGCCCCCCGACCCAGCGGCGGGGATCTGCGCCGTGCACCGCTTTGGACCAGCAGTCCCGGCTCCCGGGCCCTGGCCCGGAACCACACCGGCCCGCCAGGCGCCTGGGCTCCCCGCGACCGGGCCTGCTGCGGGCCGAGGGCGGCCGGCCGCGGGCCAACCGCAGCCCCCTGGCCGGGACGCGGGCCCGCGGGGAGGGCGCCCCGCCCGCAGCTGCACCTCGCAGGGCGCCGGGCCCGCGGCGCTCAGGTGCCGGCTTCGCCGCCCCGGCGGGCGGGGCGGGGCGGGGGCAGCGGCCGGGCCGGCCCCGCACAGGCCCCGCACAGGCCCCCGCGCCCCGCGCGGCCGTTACCGGTTCCGCGGCTCCTTGAAGAGCGCGGTGAGCGCGCGGAGGGCCTCCAGGTCCTGGATGGGCGCGGGCACCATGACGCCCGACAGCCGCGCGGGCGGCCTGGGCGCCGCCATCTTGCCGAGGCCGGGCCGGACGACGCGGCGCAGGAGGGGCGGCGGCGGCGGGGCCGGCAGCGGAGGGCGCCCCGCACCCTGGGACCTGCTCGCGCAGCAGCCCGCGGCCCGGGAGAGCGAGGGGACACGCCGGGAGCGCCTGCGCCGCCGGGGAGCGCCGCCGGGGAGGGGGCGCCGGCGGAAGTGCGCCCGAGGGGACGCGCGCAGCGGAAGTGCGGCCGGAGGGGAGGGGGCGCGGGCGGAGTTGTGCGTGGGCCGAGGGCGCCACGCCAGGGGAGTCGGTTCCAGAGGAGGAGCCCGGGTCCCAGAGGAGGGGCCTGGGTTCAAGGTTCACTGAGGGGGAGGGGCGCTGGGCATGGTCCCCTGGGGGAGAGGGGCGCTGGGCATGGTCACCTGAGGGGGAGGGTCGCTGGGCATGGTCCCCTGGGGGAGAGGGGCGCTGGGCATGGTCACCTGAGGGGGAGGGGCACTGGGCATGGTCCCCTGAGGGGGAGGGGCGCTGGGCATGGTCCCCTGAGGGGGAGGGTCGCTGGGCATGGTCACCTGGGGGGGAGGGTCGCTGGGCATGGTCCCCTGAGGGGGAGGGGCGCTGGGCATGGTCCCCTGGGGGAGAGGGGCGCTGGGCATGGTCCCCTGGGGGGAAGGGCGCTGGGCATGGTCCCCTGGGGGGAGGGGCGCTGGGCATGGTCACCTGGGGGGAAGGGCGCTGGGCATGGTCCCCTGGGGGGAGGGGCACTGGGCATGGTCCCCTGGGGGAGAGGGGCGCTGGGCATGGTCCCCTGGGGGAGAGGGGCGCTGGGCATGGTCCCCTGCGGGAGGGGCGCTGGGCATGGTCACCTGGGGGAGGGGCGCTGGGCATGGTCCCCTGGGGGAGAGGGGCGCTGGGCATGGTCCCCTGGGGGAGAGGGGCGCTGGGCATGGTCCCCTGGGGGAGAGGGGCGCTGGGCATGGTCAACTGGGGGGAGGGGCGCTGGGCATGGTCCCCTGGGGGAGAGGGGCGCTGGGCATGGTCCCCTGGGGGAGAGGGGCGCTGGACAGGTTCACCTGAGGGGGAGGGGCGCTGGGCATGGTCCCCTAGGGGAGAGGGGCGCTGGGCATGGTCCCCTGGGGGAGAGGGGCGCTGGGCATGGTCCCCTGGGGGAGAGGGGCGCTGGACAGGTTCACTTGAGGGGGAGGGGCGCTGGGCATGGTCCCCTGGGGGAGAGGGGCGCTGGGCATGGTCCCCTGGGGGAGAGGGGCGCTGGGTATGGTCACCTGGGGGAGAGGGGCGCTGGGCATGGTCACCTGTGGGAGAGGGGCGCTGGGTATGGTCACCTGGGGGAGAGGGGCGCTGGGCATGGTCCCCTGGGGGAGGGGCGCTGGGCATAGTCACCTGGGGGAGGGGCGCTGGGCATGGTCACCTGAGGGGGAGGAGCGCTGGGCATGGTCACCTGAGGGGGAGGGGCGCTGGGCATGGTCACTTGAGGGGGAGGGGCGCTGGGCATGGTCACCTGAGGGGGAGGGCGCCGGGCATGGTCACCTGGGGGGAAGGGCACCGGGCATGGTCACCTGGGGGGAAGGGTGCTGGGCATGGTCACCTGGGGGGAGGGGCACTGGGCATGGTCACCTGAGGGAGGGCACTGGGCATGGTCACCTGAGGGAAGGCACTGGGCATGGTCACCTGAGGGGGAGGGGCACTGGGCATGGTCACCTGAGGGAGGGCACTGGACCGGTGCACCTGAGGGGGCCGTGGGGGAGGGGAGCCCAGCCGACTGAAGGCCAGGGGCCTGCGGTTGTAGTGATCAACGCCCCACTTTGACTGCTGGGAGCAGTCTGTCCAGCTTGCGCTGTGTTCAGTTCCGAGATGTAGTGATCACTGGTCATTCACCATTTACCAGGCCCGCCACCCAGGGCGGGCGAGAACACGTTGCTCCAGCTCACCAGGGCCTAAGGCGCAAGGAGAAGCCAAGGGGCTCAATTCTACAGCCGAAGGGAAGGAACAGGTTATTCCCTAAGGGAAATGAACATTTTATTCAGGAACCAGACAAGGTTCTCTGGAGGGTGTCGGTAACTCACCTGCTTTCTTCTTTCCATGCCCTGATCATATCAGGGGTGCCTTCAGCAGGCATCCTTGCCAAGCTCTGTGCTAGGTGAGATGGTCCCAACCCTAAGGAGCTCCCGACTACTGAGGCAGGCAAGCCTAACAGTGCAGCCAAGGGCTATGACAGAGGGCTGTACGACTGGTGTGGGACAGCTTAAAGTAGGCAAATATATACCCTCTAGTGTGAACACATGCCCTCTAGTGTGAACACATGCCCCCTACAGTGTGAACACATGCCCCCTACAGTGTACATGCCCTCCACAGTGTGAACACATGCCCCCTACAGTGTGAACACATGCCCCCTACAGTGTGAACACATGCCCTCTACAGTGTACATGCCCTCCACAGTGTGAACACATGCCCTCTACAGTGTGAACACATGCCCCCTACAGTGTACATGCCCTCTACAGTGTGAACACATGCCCTCCACAGTGTGAACACATGCCCCCTACAGTGTACATGCCCTCCACAGTGAACACATGCCCTCTACAGTGTACATGCCCTCCACAGTGTGAACACATGCCCTCTACAGTGTGAACACATGCCCTCCACAGTGTACATGCCCTCTACAGTGTGAACACATGCCCTCCACAGTGAACACATGCCCTCCACAGTGTGAACACATGCCCTCTACAGTGTACATGCCCTCCACAGTGTGAACACATGCCCTCTACAGTGTGAACACATGCCCCCTACAGTGTACATGCCCTCCACAGTGAACACATGCCCTCTACAGTGTACATGCCCTCCACAGTGTGAACACATGCCCTTTACAGTGTGAACACATGCCCTCTACAGTGTGAACACATGCCCTCCACAGTGTACATGCCCTCCACAGTGTGAACACATGCCCTCTACAGTGTGAACACATGCCCTCCACAGTGTGAACACATGCCCTCCACAGTGTGAACACATGCCCCCTACAGTGTGAATACTCCACAGTGTAAACACATGCCCCTACAGTGTACATGCCCTCTACAGTGTGAACACATGCCCTCTACAGTGTACATGCCCCCTACAGTGTGAACACATGCCCCTACAGTGTGAATACTCCACAGTGTAAACACATGCCCCTACAGTGTACATGCCCTCTACAGTGTGAACACATGCCCCCTACAGTGTACATGCCCTCTACAGTGTGAACACATGCCCCTACAGTGTGAATACTCCACAGTGTGAACACATGCCCCCTACAGTGTACATGCCCTCTACAGTGTGAACACATGCCCTCTACAGTGTGAACACATGCCCCTACAGTGTGAATACTCCACAGTGTAAACACATGCCCCTACAGTGTACATGCCCTCTACAGTGTGAACACATGCCCTCTACAGTGTACATGCCCCCTACAGTGTGAACACATGCCCCTACAGTGTGAATACTCCACAGTGTAAACACATGCCCCTACAGTGTACATGCCCTCTACAGTGTGAACACATGCCCTCTACAGTGTACATGCCCCCTACAGTGTGAACACATGCCCCTACAGTGTGAATACTCCACAGTGTAAACACATGCCCCCTACAGTGTACATGCCCTCTACAGTGTGAACACATGCCCCCTACAGTGTGAATACTCCACAGTGTAAACACATGCCCCCTACAGTGTACATGCCCTCTACAGTGTGAACACATGCCCTCTACAGTGTACATGCCCCCTACAGTGTGAACACATGCCCCTACAGTGTGAATACTCCACAGTGTAAACACATGCCCCTACAGTGTACATGCCCTCTACAGTGTGAACACATGCCCTCTACAGTGTACATGCCCCCTACAGTGTGAACACATGCCCTCTACAGTGTGAACACATGCCCCCTACAGTGTGCATGCCCTCCACAGTGTACATGCCCTCTACAGTGTGAACACATGCCCCCTACAGTGTACATGCCCTCTACAGTGTGAACACATGCCCCCTACAGTGTGAACACATGCCCCCTACAGTGTAAACACATGCCCTCTACAGTGTGAACACATGCCCCCTACAGTGTGCATGCCCTCCACAGTGTACATGCCCTCTACAGTGTGAACACATGCCCCCTACAGTGTGCATGCCCTCTACAGTGTGAACACATGCCCTCTACAGTGTGAACACATGCCCCCTACAGTGTGAACACATGCCCTCTACAGTGTGAACACATGCCCCCTACAGTGTGAACACATGCCCTCTACAGTGTGAACACATGCC